AGGATGATGCTGTTAAGGTGCTACATTCAATATGCCAACAAGTTTGGAAAACTCAACATCTATAGTCTATGGTAGCTTTTTCTCTCTTTTATGTACCCTGGCTGAAATCCAGTAGTAAGGTGCAACAAGAGCAGGCCCATTGAATCAATGGAATATATAGAGGAGTTCTCACCTAATCCCACCGATTCAATGGGCATACTCTAGTTGTGACTACTAAATTTCAGCCACTGTATACTAGAGAGAAATTATACGTATCAACTATACAGTGTGGTCATGGCTTGCTGGGGCATTTTGGCCTGGCCCAAAACATTTTTCTTCCAAAGGTGGAGCAGGCAATGCACTTTCTCTACCAATCAAGCATCTAGCCATACTTACCCAAGGCAAGGCACGCATCTGGTGTAAAAAAATCCCATATGGCCCTCCCTACTCTTTAGGATAAAGATTTACAATACTAGTTAAGTCAAATAACTGTAACTTGCCTGCCTTTCTACAACATCTGAGACCAGCTACCTGAGGTGGCCAAGGCACACTCCCTTATGGCAAAGGTGCTGTTAGAGGTGCTAAGAAGCATAATTGTATTTCAGGATAGCTCAGTGGTTTAGGTATCTGGCTGTTAAACCAGAGGTTGGGAGTTCAATTCCCTACTGTGCCTCCTTGGTGGGGGTTGGACTTGGTGATCTATAGGGTCCTTTCCAGCTCTTTAGTTCTAAAATTATTATATTATTTTGACTCCCTCCCCCCCATCCCCTTCTATCTTAATGGGATTTAACTCCTTCTAAGCAATTGTGGATACAGCCTTAATTTCTTTTTCAAGTTATCACACTCGTCAGACAGACTTATTGTAGTTTAAAGCAGATTTTTTTTCCAGTCCATTATGCTTTAGAAATGGGCCTTACGCATATGCACTATTCAGAGAAAAGGAGAAAACTCTCTCAGTTTCAAATATCAGGGCATGAATCAAAAGAGTAAAACAAATAGTCTGTACTACTTTGCCACTTTAGCTGGCTTTTATTTTCATGAAGAGTTAAACATTCATACACACTCTTCTGGTAGTTAGAAAGTTGCTCTGCCGAGAGATGCTATCAAAAACAAGATATTTTTGAACTCAGTGAGCCAGTGTTGTTCTTTCCTTTCCTGAATGCCAGCAGTATAGCTGTGGGTTTTTTTTTTCAAGTTTTCTATATTTAGTTGGAACAAATGATTTATACAGTACCTGGCAGTGTCCTGAAGGTTTACAGCAGCAGTGGCAGCAGCAAGGGGAAGCATAAGTTCAAGATAGACATCACTCCTAGCTTTTCAACAAAGCTTAACCCCAGCCACAAGTGCAAACATATTTCGTCAGTGTCTGACTGAGGCTAGTGAGGAAGTCATCATATCGCTTGCATCTGCTCATGCGCACTGCAGGGAAGTTCTCAGCAAGAGACACTCGGCTTTACAGTAAGACAGCGAAAGTGGCAACTTCGCAGGCCGCTCTCTTGACTGCTCTCAGTGCTGGATATACTCTGCTGCCGCTTCCCCCCATACTGTACCTCCTTTTGATATCCCCAGAGGGTTAACATTCAGCTGCACATGTGGGACTGATCAGAGAACAGTAGGGCTTTTCATTACAGACCTGGCTTCAGTGATTTAATGGGTATTCCCTAGCTTCCAGGGAAGAAGTTGCCAAAACAGGCATTTGCCCAGAAAGTTCCCTTGCAAAGCCAGTTTTCTTTCTATAGGAAATTGAAATAAGCAGTGTGGGAAAAATTACAAAGTTAGCAGTGCTTCTAGATGCCATGTGAGAGAAAGGAGGCTGTGATATGTGTCTAGGGTAATGAGTGTTTTGGATTTTTTTTTAAATCTGTGGATACTGTGTTCTGGTTTCTTTCTCATGTTTTTTAAAGATGGCATAGGAATGAGAGCAGTAGCATTAATTTGCCTAGTACCTCTTTCCCTTGGTGACACTGTTTTGTGGGATGAGACATAAGATAGGCAGAGTTAAATCCAGCCATGGGTAGGATCAGAGCTCAAAGCTTACCCAGTCTCTCTCTCTCTTGATATCTCCTCCTTCCGCACAGCAGGCTGGGACCTGGTGTTTCCCCTCCAATGTCATCATGTTACATATTTACGTCCAACCATAAAGGAGTAGAGGAGAAGTAAAATGCATACCTATGGCAGACATTTGGACAGACAGCACAGAGTAGAGCAAAGAACATGTTTTAACATGGTGTGAGTCTCTTCAGCAAAGCCTGTGATTTTGTCAAACATGCACCCCATCCCTCAATTGAATGGTTTAGATCAGGGGTCTCAAACTCAATTTCTCTGGGGGCCGCTGGAGGCAGAGTCTGAGTGAGGCTGGGCCGCATCAGGTTTTCCACCAGAAAAACTTTGTAAAAAAAATTCCAATCTTCTCAAAGCTCTTTAATTTTTAACACAAAATAAGATGAAAAAAATAAACAAATTAATATTTAATAAGAAAATAAACAAAAAATCAGTTAATAAATAAATAAATAAATAAATAAATATAAAAATAATAAATATAAAAATAAATATAAAAATAAA